TCCCTGAGACCGTTACCTTCTGTACCAACCTGTTGGTGTACTTGGTGGACTTAATCAAAACCGACGGTCGAAAACGCACACAATATGCCTAAGTAGAAATCGTTTGAGGTGTAACGCACGCGTCTTACTGGAAAAGGCCAAGGAAGTTCTACGATAGCTAAAGATAGGCCTAAAATCCGAACGAATAGAGATGAAGTCACACAGTAACTTACCCAGTTCATGTGGCAGTTCTTCGAACATAATGCTAAGACTCAGGGTAAGACCAAGGATGGGACTTTGGGAGAAGCCGGCTCCAATAGTTACACCGTCCATCATGTTGTGGAAACCATCACCCAGAAGAATCATCCAGGCAACTGGAGCAATCTTGGTGAACTGTTTGACGTCACAGTGCATCTTAGCGCAGCAGCCGGGTTTAGAGCTAATGACGACCTCATCATCATCATCCGAAGATTCCAGTGAAGTTGATTGTTTTATATCGGCATCACCATCACCCTTAATCAGAAGAAAATAATAAGCATCAGTATAAGCACTACCGAAATTCATCTGACTCCGGTTGTGGAAACCTCAGCGGCCTCTGTGGGATTCGAAATCACGGCAGCAAGGAGAAGGTTTCAGTACAGCCAAGGCCCCAGCGAGGGCCTTGCATTTAATCACACTTGGGTCGAGTCAGCCACCCAGCCTATCGCAAAGTATGAAATCCGCCAATTCTGATACAGTAAGCTGGCTGCTCAAGCAGGACTTTCTAAGCAATCAATATAGAATCCGCCAGATGATAACCAGGCGCAATTATTTAATAGGGGGTTTTGGTAGAGGCGACGAGTTAATGTGGACCACCGAAGTAGCACAAACTGTGTGTCCGATCAAGAGAATGAAACCCTTGTGATACATTTCTCATATGTAAAGTAGACGCGAACGCTGGAACAAGAGCTCTATTCGCCTGACGTTCCGCATTCATGCTCTAACCCATTATTTGAGACCGTATCAGATTGGGATTCCGATGTTCTCTCTAAGCTTAAAAGTTAGGCGAATAAAGCTCTTATTCCAAGGATCACATCTGCTTCTTTGCATCCATTTGCTGGGATTTGCCTGCCTCTTCGTATCAGCTATATCTGTCATCTTGCAGAACTAGGTAACCTCGAATGTAGCAGCGCGAATTTGCTAAATATGGACAAAGTAAGTTGAACATAATGTTCCCAAACCGATGCGGTTCGCAGCAGCTTTACGAGCTCTCAAAGATGTTCATGAACCCGTCCCGATACCTCAGCCGTTACAGAGATCAGGGTGTACTGGGAAACCGTAAGCTATGCAGAAATAATTTCCTTGTAACGAAGGGGAAGATCATCACACCATTTCTGGCCTCCCAGCTCAGTTGGACAGAGCGCTGACTATACTAAAGCATTCCCTTCGCTGGCGTGGATCCGGATCCCACTAAGGCCGCTGAGTTTTTCACAAGTGGGTCAAATTAATTATCCAAATCTGCCAAACCCCGCCATTACTAGAGGAGAATTATGATAGTTAATCGGAAACGGTGGAGGCCAAATAACAACTGGCTTAATCATTGTTTGAATATATACGGAATAAGCCGAGGAGGAAAGCGTGCAATGGAGTGTGGCAAAAAAGGATTAATTTGCTTCATGCCACGTAAATAGAGCGGCCTACAAATTTCGAATAAAGAAACTTACATCTGATGTAGGGAATGTAATGCCATGTGAATGTCCGTGCCCGCCATTAGCGGTAGTCTCGTCGTAATCCTTGTCCGAAATAGACATCTCATTGTCCTCTATGTTCCACTGAAAGATTAAAACAAATCGAAACTTTGTCAAAAAAGCTAGAAAATTCTAGGAACTCGCAAAGAATAGTCACTTGCAGCGAGGAAATTGCAGATACTGTAATATTGTCCACCGCAAAATCAATGACATCCTCATTAACAGACGCAAACGAGGAACAGAAAAATGCTATCCCTCATTTCGTTTGGGACAGTCAAAGGAGACGTGAACTTCGAACAGAATTTGTGACGGTTATACCAATGAGTAATGGACTGTTGACGCTTTTTGTATCCCCCTTAACCTGAGCATGAACCGGATCAATAAGGGAAACAAGCACTTTTTGAACCTATGCCGTAGTAAACGTCTGTTTTAGAGTATTATAAAGCGAATGAAAGTTTTGGAGGTAATTAACGGAAACACTGGCTTAATGGCAGAGAAGGAGACTCGATGTTGAAAGGCCACAACCGAACCACCTCGCGTTAGCCTAAAAGTAAGACGACTAGACAAGATTAAATGCAGACTTTTTGTTAGGGAAATGAGGTAAACTATAATCCTCTTAATTATTGCCTCTCAAAAACATCGCTTTGAACTCTAATTGGCTGTAACTTCATTACCCAGTTTTTACACTAATGTACCCCT